GGTCTGAAAAATAAAAATTCTCGCGCCGAAGGGGTCAACCAGCCCAGTTCAGCTCGTCGCCACCTGCTCCCTCCTCATATTGCAGCACAATAGCAGCAGTGGTTGCGACCTTCAAATCACCTTGTATCGTAGGTTTCAAACAACACCTCTTGTGGTCGCCTTTCTGCTGCGAATGTGCACCTTTTGACATATGTTTCGCCTTCATTGGCCCCGGGGATGGTGCGTTAGTGGCCCCGGAATTTTAAAGACACTTCCCCGCGTTGAAAACACTTTTTTTTGTGAAATCGTCGACTGCTGTATGTACTGCTGTAGTTCTGAATTAGAACCAAACACGCGTTTCTTCGCATGCGTGGATACCTGCAGTAGCCCGCTCCTCTCCTGCCCATCCTGCTTTTAGGGAGTTTGGGAGAGAGCAGAGTTCAGGGACACGCGTGCGTGGGGCGAGACATCATGACCACAGGCGCTGCCTTAGCGTTCTTGCTGCCACTAACCCATCCACAGCCACAGCCACACCTCCCTCTGGAGAGGAAACGAATGGATTGCCAGCCTTGCCAACCTCACCACCAGCAGGGTGTTTGGAGCAGCAGGCGTTCAGCTGCTGCGATGCTGCCGTCGGCGAAGCTAAGCGTGTGTACTGAAGAGGACTGCATCCAACAAGGGGCGTATCAAACGCTGGCGAAACTGAAGGAGGTGGCCAAGGGGAAAGGCATTCAGGTGCGATAAATAGCTACAGCTGCTCGTGTTGAAGATTCTATGCGAAAGAAAATGACAAGGTTGACAGCTCGTCATCCCCGGCGCATGCAGCTCACTTCTGGCAAGGACGGTGCGTGGTTATGACACCATTGTAGGACCCGGACTTGTATCACCCACACCAAATACAGGCAGGTCGTCATCTGGATCTTGCCCTTCTTCTTGGGGTAAAACATGAATGCCATAGGGCCCGCGACCGATCATTCGCCAAGCGAGCACAGTCTCGGGGCAATCATAGCACGCCGTGGGACCCAACCGCGACAATACCGTGCCAGTCTTGCGTTGATGACGTAGGACCCGACCCATCAACCACACCAACCGTACACGATTCACACAGGTCCCTTCTGTAGGGAGCCTCATTATGAGCTACCCAACGTACCCACATGCTTTCGACAGCAGTTGTTGCACCTAAATGGTTCGAACCCTCTCCGTGACTGTGCTTCTCCCACGCACGGCATGTGCACAGTCTAACGTCCAACTTATTTTTCGGCCGTGCAGCTGGACACGTGCCCCTGTTTGGGCATGTGCGGCTTAGGGCCGTGCGTTTCGATCGACTGGGATGGGTCACGGATGGAATCAAGAGGGGGAATGTACCACACGGATGAGGAGGCGGCGCTAAAGGTGGGGCCGGGATGCATGTTTTGCCTGCAGATGGCCTGTCTTCTGCGATACTAGGCTTTACTCGGCTACCTGTGCATCGTAATCACAAAGAGAAGAGCCTTTCCAGATCACAAGGACCAACAATTGCTTTGGGAAAGACTCGAACCCTGTCGTGACTCCGAACAGCTTCAAAACGGGCGCTTCTCCGCATACATACGTAAAGGAAGGTTTAGGTATTCGGACCCTGCTCGCACCTACCGGTGGTGTCGTAGCCTGTAGGTCGCGTTAAGTTTGCAGAAAATTCGCTTTGCTGATTCGGGAGCCGTCGCCTCGCTGCTCCTGTGCGCCCTCCTCGAAATCCTACCAGCTTGTATCCGACGCACTGGAGCGGCCGCCAGCACAGAAGCCCTCGATGCCACAAGAGAGAGATCCTTACGAGGAGCAATGACGGGGCTATATGGTTCACTTTGAATTTTCGGGTGCTGTGTTTCCCGAGTTCTTTTTGACTTGAACGGTGGACATTTTTTAACCCACACGGAAGCGTCCATTTAGGCTGAGCTTCCAAGCACCGAGAGACTGTCTCAACGTCGACCACAACAGAGTAAGGCCTCCTTATATGTGCCTTGGTGTTGATTTTTTTTTCGCACCGCCCTCTCCTACTCCGTGGTGGTGCTCTCGCTACTCCTGCTGATTGCGGGCCGGGGTGCATGCCGTCGAACGGTGTCCCCTTTTCGCAGCGCCTCAACCTCGAGGGTTACGAGCCCCTGTTGAGAATATTGGTCTGGTGGCTGGTGCGTGCAGGACATAGAACCCTACGCTCTGCGTTTTCGACTTGAATGATGATGAACAGTCTACGTCACCAGGCTCACGGACTGGGTGGGACGATTTCCGCCGTCTCGTCTGGGAAAGAAGTAAGATCTTGCCATCGGTCGGCTGATGTATGTACAAAAAGCTTTTGTAGGTTGTAGGGGCGGAGCCTTGGGTGGCCAAAGATGTTCTACCCCGTCCGTTTCGCGTATGCCGGTAAGGGTGTATGCGGGTTAGCGCTTCCCCCGTAGGCGATCGCCGAAAACGCCGATTTCTGAAAAATATCGCCGAAAAACAGTGGTGGAAAAAAATAGCCATAAATAACCGAAACAAAAAATGCCGATTCTGAAGGGGCCTCCGCCATATCGTTTCTAGAGGTTGCCGCTTGTCGCCGATTTAGTTCACGGTGCCCCCTGTATCTCCACTTTACGCTGTACAGCTGTACACGGCTGCACACAGCTGAACGGCGGTGCGATGTCGTCGCCTCTTAGCGGTATGGAAGCCTACTCTGGTAGGTGGGACAATAGGAGTCGCGAAAGTCGCTTCGATAGAGTCGCTGGAGTATATCGCGAAAGGTAGCAGCCGAAAAAAATCGACGAAAATCGACGAAAAATGAAACATGACTACCCGAAAAACATACCTTGTATGGAATCGCCGAACGTCGCCGAAAACCTGTTTTTTTATCAAAACAATTTGCCGAAAAAAAATCCGTGAAACGCCGAAAAAAATACATACATAAATCGCCCATGGGAGAAGGGTCTATTGTGGATGTAGGCCATCCGTGTTCCACCCATTGCGAAGTCTTCGTAGCCTAGCGGACTATTCTCACCACCTTCATACCACCTCCCATATGCACGGCGATGTCAAATGCGCGTACCACATATTTGTCTCTAGACAGATCACAGACAATACGGTTTCATTGCGGCCGGGAATCTTTGAGAGCTACTGCTCGGCCTCCGCGACTGCGGCTTCCAGGGCCGTCGTGTCGCTCGCGAAGCCTTCGACGCTCGACCGAAGCACTTCCGTGCCGCACGTGTCTCGACCCAGGGCGGCGAGAAACGATTGCTCGTCCAGTTTCGACGGGTGATCGCTCATCAGCTCGCTCGGCCTCCGCGTTTCTTGTTCTGGGGCCATGTTTCCGCTGGTGGGCACACCAGCCGTACCGACTCTCGGAGGAAGCCGCGCCATTTCTGCGATCAATCGTGGAGCTGAATAACGAGCAAGTTTGGTGCAACAGCGGGGTGTCGAGACAGACAGGGAGGTGGGGGCGCAGAGTGAAAGAGCTACAGCATTTCTGACGATTCACGGAAGTGGGGGGCGGGTTAAAGATATGCAGGGCGTCCATCATCAAGTCTGCCTCATGTTGTTACGGACAAGTCATCGGACGTGCCCATCAAACCTCCTCGACAGAAAACGATCTTTCTAGCACGACACGGCACCTATTCACTTTGGCAGAAAGTTGCTGGTGTGTCGAAAACGCAGACTCGTCGGCACCGCGTTCACAGCGGGTGCGCGAACATACATGTCTCGTCGTTGGCTTGCAGTAGCACTCCGCATAATTCCGCTACTTCTTGCTCCTCGATATCGTCAGCGGTCACCTATTGTAAGATGGTCGCACCCCGCCAGAGCTTCCACCTGATCGGCGTTTCGGAAACTTGCCCCCATGACGCCTGTGGGCAATCCGTGAGCAACAAAGTAGTCTTTGAGGTCCGTGGTCAGCGTTACGCCGGGGTCTTTACTCGCGCAGAAGGCTGGTGCGTTTGCCGCGCCGGGCGGAGCGGGGGCGCCGCCGATTGTTTCCGCGGTCGCCGCCTTCCTGTGCCAGTCAGAAACGCGCCCCACATCTGACATATTTCGAGTGGGTGGGGGGGGAGGGGGTACACGCGGTTTGTCGATGCGTACAGGTTCAGACTACAGTAGGGACGTGCAGTCAGGGTTTGGTCGAGTATGAGCAAGGCACCACAACCCGCTCCGGGCGAAAGCGGCAGGTACGCCGTAGAATCATACGACGCTCTAGAAATTGCGTTGTGGCTTGTTTGTTTGCATGCTGGCCACAAAAAACTGCATGCAGCAGCAAGTAAGAGCTTGTGAAGGTTTGTTGATGGTAAAACCACATGAAGGAAAGCGGAGCGTGTGCGATATGCTGTCCGCTGTTTCCATGTATGACGACCACTGAGGACAGACCTAAAACAAATAAACGCTGAGCGGATGGCGGCTCCCTTTGCACCCTTCCTGGACTTGTCAGCTCCGACCGACCGAGCTATGAGAGAGAGTGAGAGAGAGAAGATCGTAAGCGCTAGAGCAAATGCGTAAATTTCGATAAAAATGTATTTATAGTATCCTCGCCTCTCGACTCCAGCAAAACTCACATGTTGCTATTATTGAAGCCCCGGCTTCCGCTGCCGCCTGTCCTTGCACCCGAGAACAGACAAGGGTTACCAAGCACCTGATACCTTCACGTTCCAGCCTCTCCGTCGCTCGAATACCAGCCCAGGTAGCTGGTGTCTTAATCAATACTCGCTCTCGGGGGATGCCGGCCTGGCATGACATTATCGTGTGCAAAAAAACAAATTTCATTCGAGACACATGAGTATAGAAGCGTTCGGGGTTTTAGACCGTTCCTCAACGGTTTACTTCTTGTTGTCGTACGCTCCTCGTTGGTGCGAACAGCGCAGATAAGGTGCACTTCGGACGAGGTGCTGGTCGTCAATAAAACCAGACGGTGTTGAATTTACCACCTACGCGAAACGACAGAGGCTGACAGCGGCGGAAGCAATACCGACACCCGTCCCAACCGAAAGACCGGCAACAGAGCAACACCAACGGCCCGTGCAGTGCTCCACTCACCTCCGCGTACGTGCTCACCAAACCGCGGGCCTTCTTGACCATGCTTTCGGCATCGGTACATCGAATGTCCACCTGGGTGCACACCCTTCCAATCCGATCGATCAGCCCGGCACATGAAAGTTATCAGAGGGTGCATCATGAAATGAAAACACATGCCAGCGAGATACGCCAACATCACGACGTAACTACTGCTACTGCTGTATGCACAACTCTCGCCATTGTGCATATCAACATCATCCCGGGTCTCTTCGTCAAAGTGCAATTTCTTAATTCGTTCAAAACGGGTTGACTGCTGTGCGAAAGAGGATCATCGCATCGGGCAAGGAACATCCAGATTCCCTTAGAAACCAGTTCGTTCGTTGTCTGGCGGACGTGCAGTGTACCATACCTTCCGGGAACAACCTGAAGAAGACGCCGACCTATGTCCACAGCGATACGCTCGTGGCCTTCCAACTTTGATGCTGCTCCAGACGCGCTTGGCGTCTGCGCATTTTAGGCAAACGCCATGCAGTGTCGGTGTAACAAGAGGTAGGACCTCGCAGGGAGACGCGGCCTTTTCTCACGGAAACATTTGGCTCCATCGCGAACGTATGACATGGCCTGGAGAAACATGATCTACATGGACCATCATATCGATCCTTGCCCGACGCGTGCATATACATGACGTGCACCATCTGCTGGATGCGCAGCATATCCACTAAGCTACAAGTCATGGGCTGACTTGTAGCAAAGGCTGACTTGAAGCAAGTGGATACGCTGTACATCTAGCACCACCTTCCGCTCAAGTTCATGGTAACAAACCACACCTGGACCAGGAGGCTCCCTGCCGAACCAGCGCCTTGCAGGGCGGTCGCAGCAACGATGGATGGGTTCGTCGTGACGTCCACCAACCCCAAGTCATGGTTAAGTTGTTCGACTATCCTCAAGTCCGCTGTATCCGCCCAAACCGTTGTCCGTCTCTGCACCTGCTCCAGATGGTTGTTGGGTGCTGCAACCCCGCTGTCGCCTCCGTGTGACGCACGGCGTGGTTCACCATGGACATGGCTTTGGCGGCACGGCTGTTGTGGCGATCCAGTTGTCTGGGCACTTGACGCGGCTGTGATTAACACACGAGGGGATGCAAACCCCATAGCGAGGGGCAGCAACAGCCGCAGCAGTAGTGGCAGCAGCTGAGGGCATTTAGCTCGGCGTACGATGGGCGTGAGTCGGGCCATTCGTCGCTCTCTGTACGGTGTCCCAGCTGTAGCTGGTGGTAGCTTCCCCGAGTTCTAGTAGAATCGTTTGATAGAGAATGAACGTGTGAAAACACTTTTTATTGCGCACGTGCTTTACTGTCATGTGGGTTCTGATGTGGCACGTACTTCACGATACGCATAGACTATTAGTCTACACATTCTCGTGTGCGCGTAATTCTGGGTGCGCTCATGCGGCGAGATTGTTTTTGGTTCTAAACTGGAACCGGTGCCACTCACGGCCTTAGGCCGGCGCAGTAGACACCGCCCATCAACTCTACTGAACGAACTACGCACACACCTTGCCGCCTCCATGGAGAGGGACAACAGGAAAAAGCACGGCCATGAGACCGGGGATAGGGCTGACGGCGGTGAGCTGGCCTACAACGCGAAGCGATCCTCTAAGATGCGCAAACGGAGCAAGCGGTGCGAACAAAGCAGCAACTTTGACAACACAACAGCAATTTGCCGAGTCCTGGTAGCTTCGCTTCTCGCTTCGGAGCGATAGGGGTGCCATTGGGGTGCTCTGCCACCTGATAGATCGCATTTTTGTCTGCGTGGTTATTGCTGTACGGGGGTAAAAATTGTATCGGAAGGCGGTGGTGTTACACAACGACTACCACAAACCACTGCTGCTGTCTGTGCATCGGCTACTGCTGTGCATCCAGAGCCCAGCGGATCAGCAGAGAGATTGCTGTGGTTGTTCACATCCAACTTGCCGGCAAAGGAGACTCTGTATGAGGAGGCCACAAGCAATAATGCTGTTTCCATGCCTCACAACCGTAGTGCAAAGGAAGAATGGCTTACACCTCGCATCTACTTCTGCGTGGGTGTTGCCGTCTTTGGGTGTGTGTCCTTGCTGCAATAAAACGCGCCTTTGGCAAAAGCTATTGCGCATGTACTGAGTTGGTCGGGTCGAGTTGAGCCACCCTCCTACGATGCTGTCGTCTGTCGTCAAACTCCGATGCCTGCGCAGGCACCGTGTGTGCATGGTTTGCGACTTTTTCTATCCTCGACTGGGCGGGGTAGAGATGCACATCTGGTCTCTCAGCCAGTGCTTGCTGCGGCGTGGGCATCGGGTGGTGGTCATCACGCACGGCTACGACAACCGCAAGGGAGTGCGGTACATGACCAACGGACTCAAGGTGGGCGAGGGGGGGGAGACTCATAGTCGTGCATGCCGTAGTCGTTAGACCATTGACCCCGCATCCCTACAAAGCCGGGACGGAGCACGCCGGGTTCTCACCGGACCAGGCTCTCACATCACGAACCGCAGGAGGNAGTCGCATGAAGGGTGCGCTTCATCCTGCTAAGGGTGTTCGGCATCTTGTGCTTACTTCCTTGCATACGGATGACAGCTGCGTATGACTTAATTTATTTTCTGGTGTTTCACTTCCAGAGACAGTTGTAAGCTCTGTGTAACTGCCTCGAGGGTGCTTGACCATATTAACACAACGTGGTGCGATCATGCCCCTTGCGCGGAGTGAGGGTTCCCCACCCCGCACAACATGGTCTACTCGACCACCGTCATGGTTACCGCAAAAAAAAATAGAGGTGAAAAAAAAACGGTAACCTGGTTGCCGAGTTCACGAAGTGAATTGGCTTGTTTTACAACGTCTTTGCCAAGCNGGGGGGGGGGGGGGGGGGGGGGGGGGGGGGGGGGGGGGGGGGGGGGGGGGGGGAGGATCGAAGGCACAGGATCACAAGATGTCTTGGTTGCTTGGAAAAACCCGGTTGATTTCCTCTCAGGTGTTTGCTCTGTCGGAAGTCGGTACATACGGGCTTTCTTGGGGCACGCAAAGGCCATCGAAGCGCACGTAATCTGCAGCAGTTACAGCAGTCCTCTTATGTGTAATGAGGCTAGGCTTTCCCGTCCCGACCCCTCCTTGAGTCGGCCCAGGGCACAGCGGAATTTTTTCTGGTGGGGCGCCTAGAAAAAGGAAAGTTGGGCATGGTGGGGCCGCACCCTCGTTCTCTCCTCCTCGTGAAACTGGCGTCTCTCGAAAAGCACACGTGAGGCAACTCAAGAGCATTTTTTTCAGTGTTGTGTAGATGCGCAGAGAGAAAGAGAGCATCACGGTTCCTCCCTAAATACAAGGACACGCCCACACGCGTCGCCATCCTGTGACAGGTGTACTACGTGCCGCTGGTGCCTGTGGTCGACGGGGACTGCATGCCGACGGCCTGCGCGTTCTTCCCGATCTTCCGGCAGATCTTGATCCGCGAGCGCATCACGCTCGTGCACGGGCACCAGGCCTCTTCCGTCATGTCCCACGAGGCCATACTCTTTGCCAAGACGATGGGCTACCGGGTGGCCTATACGGACCACTCTCTCTTCGGGTTCGCGGACGCGGCTAGGTGAGGCGTGCCGCGGTGTGATGTGGTTGTTGTGGCGTCGTTGGTTCAAAGGCCGTTCGTTGTACGTGATGCAACGCGTAAGTGCCAACGCCTCTGCGGCAGGAGCCTTGTGAGGTGTATCCCGTAGTTTTGGTGGGTGTCACGCTTTCCAGCTCCCTTTCTTTTGGCGCATTTGCCCATTCTGCCGGATGGTGGGCGTTTCTCTTCTCTAGCTCAAGCAACTCTTTCGCGACTTCTGCGACAAGTCACGCCCTGTGTCCCCGCCCCCCCACCCCCCGCTTCCCACCAGCATCCACCTCAACAAGCTGATGAAGTTCACGATGTGCAGCGTCGACCACGCCATTTGCGTGAGCAACACCTGCCGAGAGAACCTCGTGGTCCGCGCCACGCTGCCGCCGGAAAAGATCTCCACCATCCCCAACGCGATCGACCCCTCCAAGTTCACGCCGGACCCTTCCGCCCGCTTCCCGAAGGGCACCATCAACGTCGTCATCATGAGCCGGCTCGTGTACCGCAAGGGGATAGACCTCGTCGCCCCCGTCGTAAAGGCAAGTGGCTTACCCTTGTTTACAGAAGGAATTTCACGCGACTTCTCTCTCTGGTGTTGTGGACAGTGCAACCCGCGATGACGCATGGCAATAGCATGATTGCGGATCGGTATTTTGCTGGTTGTGAACCGTTGTACTATTTTTTCATGTGCACGCTTCTCTCGGAGGGTATTGGGGCAGCAGGGGGGTTGTGTGAGGAGGCTGTTGTCAGAAGCGCAATCGTGAGCGGTTCGGTGTACTGCAACGGTGCATTTAACTGGCCGCCCCTGCAAAAGACCGGCGAACAAACTTAAAAACAACGATGCTATTGCTTGTTTGACACCCTTGTTCCTTGCTGTAGTGTTTGGTCTCAGCAATCTTGCGAACCGTGCTTACGGAGAGCGATTTCGGAATTTGAGCTCCTTTAGTGCGCGGGGGAACGTTGAAATTTGCTCGTCTCGGGGCACAGACACACAGAGAGACAGAGAGAGAGAACGAGAGAGAGAGTGAGAGAGA